TTCATTAAAATAACATACAGGAATGTATTGTATTAGGGGGAATTGCTTGCAAAGATGTGTATATTGGGTCAGAATTGCACATAAATTATGCATGTCAGGAGAAATGCACACTAAAATGCTTATGGGTTTTCACAAGGACTTTAAACACAGACACACACAAAATGGATGCAGAAATGTGGTGAATTGAACTTTAAATTGAAAAACTGAGAAACCAAAATTGACATTATGGCTATCAGGACGAATTAATAAAAATATAAATCACTTCCTACTACAGATAGAGACCACCTTCTTGTAAGATAGGACTCTTTATTTATTACAAGCAGACTTTTATTCTGGCTCTTGATAATGGTGGCAATTATTCCCCCCAACGTGGCTTCCAGCCAGGCGCAAAATATGAGCAGGTGGGGCACAGGAGTAACCCTTATGTGACTACACTAAAACACAAGCAGCCTACACATTATAATACTAGTGATTAGAGAATTGTTAATGGAGATTAAAGAAGAATCGTTTGGCTGGAGAAGTTTGATTGAAAAATTCAAATATAAGTAAAATATTCAAAGACAAGTCAAATGCAAGTGGGTAAATTTAAATACAATGTTCTAATCTTGAAATTTGGTTGTTCCCATTGAAGTTCCGATTCCTTGTAGTATATTGAAATTGGATTACCATTGCTGTTCTTCTTCAGGCCCACATTTAAATGTTAAATGAAATTGCAAAGTGGTCCCACACAAACTCTCCATTGTTTTCACTGTATTTTCTCTCTGTAAAGGTGTACAGTAAGTATTGTAAGTATTTCCTGAGAAAACTAGATCACTTAATTAAATGTTTCAAAAGGAAAGATATAAAGATGTCCATGTCCTTTTTTCTGAAGGATTGCTGAAGTTATTGGTGGTGAGTTTTCTCTCACTCGCCTCAATTTTTCCTATATGTCTGTCTCTCTGTTTATGTCAAGTAACCTTTGCAGTTTCTAGTCTAAAGCAATAAAGTGAATGCTTCCTGTCCTATTGATTTGGTAAGACCTATTTTCGCACTAATAAAATGAAGCCCAGCTTGATAAAATACTCTTTTCCAACCAGTGGCTAGGGGTGAGCCCCTGTCTTGACAATTTTGGAGGAGGTCAGCTGAGAGTAAGTGGGTCATATATGCAGTAAATCAACCCCCAGGAACAAATCACTGGACACCATAAAAACCAAGAGTGGTTCTTTAAGAGACCAGCTTGACCTCTCCTTAACCAGAAAATAGCATCTGACCTTGCAGTGAAATTTATCACAACGTTTCAATTAAAACTTGGCAGCCATACAAAGCAACACATTGCTCTGCTAACAGTTGACCTTGTTACAGAAAGGAGAGTTGCATGCATGGAAGGGACTCTCTTTCAGCCAATGAATATGAACTACAGAGTGTAGCGGGGATCTTTCTAAAGTCACATAAGGTCAATCGCTTTGACTACCAAGGACATTATCTGAATCACCTTCCAAGCTCTCCCTCCATCATTGGTATGAAACAGTGCACACTATGATCTCCATATAAGCTGAGATTGCTCAGTTTAGTGCACACTTCAATGTACATTAAGTACATTATTCTACTTACGGAACACTGCTTGTCCATAATCCTGAGGCAAGAGAATTCCAACTTTTAGTAACCAGAGATACCCAAATTTTTGATGGCAGTATGTTAGGCAAATTAAGCAAATTTTCATACATATAGTACTCATTTTCAAAAGATTATTCAATGTAGAATTCTATTACTTATCTGTCAAAAGGCATGAGATATAAGGTGCATATTTATCCAATGCTCTCTCTTCTGCACTAGCTTCCAATTAGCTTCTGGGCCAAATTAAAGGCAATGGTTATTATTGCACACAAAGGTCTACAGAGTGAGGAACCTCTTCATGTTTCAAGATTTGTCAGAAAATTCTTCCTGATGTTTAGTTGGAATCTCCTTTCTTGTAACTTGAATCCATTGGTTCGGGTCCTACCTCTGGAGCAGGAGAAGACAAGTTTGCTCCATCTTCCATTAAAAAGGTGGAGTAGCTTCTCTCCTCTTGCCCTATTGCATTCTTGCTGTGGGAGAATATCACACTCTGCCTTATATTAAACATACCATATAATTAAAATAAGGTAGTGGTGGGGAGAATCACTCGCAAAATTTTTAAAAAAAACTTCTCTCCTTTAAATTATATGGTGTCTATAACTGATACGTTTCAATTACGTAATGTTTGTATTGTATTCTCACTTTTTAGACATTACTTTATCTTGGGTAGTGGATCTGATGCTTGGAGGGTTTTCATTTTCATGCATATACTCCCCCCCAAATGAAGCACAGAGGAACAGGAATAAATCTCATAACAAATCTAGAACATTTGAGTGTCCAGAACTAGAGATGCTGCATTTAGGTATTTATTATTGCATTTACATTTCTTCCAGTAATCTCAAGGTGGGGCTTATGGTACTCCCTCTCTCACTTTGTCCCCAAAACAACCATGTGAGGTACGTAAGTTATTCCTAAGATAGGGTGATCAGTTCAAGATCACCCAGTGAGCTTCATGGTTGAGTAAGGATCTGATTGCTGATCTCCTAGATCCTAGTGAAAACATGGCTGAGGTCAGGTTTTGAACTACAGTTGGTCACACACACAACCTTACAGTTACAGACACATCAGGTTACAGATGCTTCAGGTTGCAGACTCCGCTAACCCAGAAATATTACCTCAGGTTAAGAACTTTGCTTCAGGATGAGAACAGAAATCGTGCTCCAGCGGCATGGTGGCAGCAGGAGGCCCCATTATCTAAAGTGGTACCTCAGGTTAAGAACAGTTTCAGGTTAAGAACGGATCTCCAGAACGAATTAAGTTCTTAACCCGAGGTACCATTGTATGTTAGAGCAACCTTCTCATGAGATCTGTAATATCTGAAGTCGGGAATGCTTGAATAGACTATAAGTGCAAGAAATAAGCCTTGCAAATTCATATCTGTTGCAGAGATCTGAACCAGGGCTTCTGTGTAAGCAGAGGAATGGATTAGTGGGTAGCCAACCTGGCTCCCTCCACTTATCCTTGGACTTCAACTCCCACCATCCCTGGCCATTGGCCATGCTGGCCTGGGGCTGATAGGAATTGTAGTCCAACAACTTCTGAAGGGCACCACATTGGCTAGGTATACAAAAAATGGCAAGAAAAAATAGCCTTAGACTGCAATCTAAGGGATGAGGAAGACATATTGAACCCAGTGGGACTTTCTTCTGAGGAGACATCTACAGAAATGTGCTCTTAATGTCTATCCTGCCATGCTTATAATATATCTAGAAATGTTAACACACATAGGCTTCCTGCTTCAGGAAACATCTTAGGCAGGACAGAGACAGCCATTAAGTAGTAAGATGATGTGTTTGACCTTTGTTGAAAAGGCCAGTGTGTCAAATGTCAACACCTTTTTCTCAGGGTCCACTCAACACTATTCAGTGCTGTTTCTGGAGGAGCTATAAAGAACCCACAGTAACTCTGACATTTGGGAAGGATATTCGCCTCTCACAATACAACTTCATTTTCTCCTAGTAGCTGATTTTTGCATCATAATGTTGGGAATGCCAGTGGGTTTGGCAGTCAGTGGGATACACGGTCTTGTCTCCATTCGACATATGAACTTTAGTTATATCGCTACCAACTCAGGGAGCAAGCAAAATGTCCTGCTGAATAAGGACCAACCACAACACAAATTCTCCAAATAATTTTTAGTGTTTAAATAGGACATCAGAAAGTTTAATAATAATAATAATTTATTTATACCCCACCCATCTGGCTGGGTTTCCCCAGCTACTCTGGGCGGCTTCCAACTGAATATTAAAATAATACAGCATCAGTCATTAAAAACTTCCCTAAACAGGGCCGCCTTCAGTTGCCTTTTAAAAGTAAAATAGTTGTTTATTGCCTTGACATCTACTGGGAGGGGGTTCCACAGGGCAGGTGCCACTACCGAGAAGGCCCTCTGCCTGGTTCCCTGTATCCTCACTTCTTGTAGTGAGGGAACTGCCAGAAGGTCCTCGGCACTGGACCTCAGTGTCTGGGCTGAACGATGGGGGTGGAGACGCTCCTTCAGGTATACAGGACCAAGGCCGTTTAGGGCTTTAAAGGTCAGCACCAATGCTTTGAATTGTGCTTGGAAACGTACTGGGAGCCAATGAAGATCTTTCAGGACCGGTATTATATGGTCTCGGTAGCCACTCCCAATCACCAGTCTAGCTGCTGCATTCTGGATTAATTGCAGTTTTCGAGTCACCTTCAAAGGTAGCCCCATGTAGAGCGCATTGCAGTAGTCCAAGCGGGAGATATGCATGAACTCATTAATCTAAGGCTTTAATCCTATACACGTTTACAGGAGAGTAAGCCTCATTGAACTGTGCCTGCACCAGAGACTTTTGAAGAAGTTCTCACTGTAGATGACACCAAACAACAAATGGTCTTTAGATTTGTCCTGATAGGATCTGTCTCATACACACACACACACACTTTTCCAAAAATAAAATACAATTAGTCAAACATTTTCCAATATACATTCCCTGATAATTGACTTCCCTTCCACCCTTCAATAGTTTCCTCAAATTATCTATTGCTGCTGCATATTTTAATTGATTTATACCTTCTTTCCTCCACCTTGTTCTCAGAATAACCTTTACTGCTGAGCTTACTCCCAACCTGTCAGTGTTTTAACATGTTTGCAGTTTTTTTTAAAAAAATAGTCTACAAACATTTTCCAATGTTTGGAAGGCTGCCCTGAAGGCTGTCTCGTCAGGATCTGTCCTTTTAAAATGTGTCGCTTTGGGGGCTTTATTGTTCTTTAGGGAAAATTCACTTATGCCTTTGACTGATTAGGATGCTCTCTGTGAGGTGCTGAGCATCAGGTGCCCCACAGGTTGAGAGTCTGTTGGGGGAGGAAGGATGTGCTTCATCTCTCTGAGGACTCATCCAGACTTCCTTTTGTGTCACACTTTCCAGGCGTAGGTCCGTGCTTTAAAGCTCTGTGTCCAAGTGGTTGGTTCTTTGTTTTTTGTTTTGGTCCTGGCTCTTTCCCTGGAAAAAACCACATTTTACTGCTGATTCAGAGCAAACGGTAAGTTGTGGAAAACCTGATTGCTGTTTGCTCTGATTCAGCAGTAAAATGTGGATTTTCATGGGGGAAGCGAGACACACACCAAAAAAAAAAAAAACACCACCTGCTCATACACAAACCTTTGAAGGCAGACCTTGATGAGTGTTATCCGAAAGACAGGGAAAGAGCATTTATATTGCCCCAGGTGAGAAATGAGGTGGAAATAATTGTGATTTTATTTTATTTTTTGCTCCCCCCCCCCAGCTATTTGGATTTGCACATGAGTTTTGTGCACATGAGAACTGGATGCATGGAGAATGAGTCTGCTGAGTGATTGGGTCCCTGAATTACTGATTTGCATGTGAGGATGCATGTTTTGGTAATATTTATGAGATTTTGTAGATGTGTACTGCAGTTATGTTGTACTCTAATGCTATATCTTTATGTATTTGTTTTCTATATGATCTGCCTTTGGTATTTTATTTCACTTAGGCACTTCTGCACATTGTTTAGAGAGATCTAGTGCTCAGTTATGTTACTTAAAATGTGGAATTGTATCATCGCTGCTTTTAGCAGCTGCAATTGCACTGAACGTGAAATTTGTGTTTTTACACAATATGTACTTACTTTGGTTAAGCTGTAAACCACTTAGAGCTTGCTCAGAATGTAAAGTGGTATACAAGTTGAAATAACAGCACCGCCACAACCAGTAGGATGTACTGCTGAGCAGACGTGCATAGGAAGTCATTTTCAAATTTCAATACCCTTTGAAAGTGGTATTGAAACACAGTGGAGTAATTCGAAGCTTACATTTCTAGTCTATCAATGTTTCCAAAAGATGTTTGTAGAATACTTTCAAATTCAACCTGTCTTTCGTTGCACTTCTGAAGACAATGCTTATTGCAACAGTAATGAATTCTTTTTCAAGGGTGATTTTCAAGAGTCACCACCTAGTAAAAACCCTGGACAGTTAAGTCCAGTCAAAGGTGACTATGGGGTTGCGGCACTCATCTCGCTTTCAGGCTGAGGAAGCCGGCGTTTGTCCACAGCTTTCCGGGTCATGTGGCCAGCATGAGTAAACCACTTCTGGAACAATGAAACATCGTGACGGGAACCAGAGCACACGGAAACGCTGTTTACCTTCCCGCTGCAGTGGTACCTATTTATCTACTTGCATTGGCATGCTTTCGAACTGTTAGGTTGGCAGGAGCTGGGACAGAGCAACGGGAGCTCACCCCGTCTCAAGGATTCGAACTGCCAGCCTTCTGATCGGCAAGCCCAAGAGGCTCAGTGGTTTAGACCACAGAGGCACCCACGTCCCTGCCAACCTAGTAGTTCAAAAGCATGCCAGTGCAAGTAGATAAATAGGTACTGCTGTGGCAGGAAGGTAAACAGGGTTTCTGTGCACTCTGGTTTCCGTCACAGTGTTCTGTTGCACTAGTAGCATTTTAGCAATGCTGGCCACATGACCTGGAAAGCTGTCTGTGAACAAATGCCAGCTCCCTTGGCCTCAAAGCGAGATGAGCACCGCAACCCCATAGTCGCCTTTGACTGGACTTAACCATCCAGAGTTCCTTTACCTTTACCTTAAAAACTACCTAGCAGCCACAGCTATATGAAATATCCATACCCTGAAACAGAATAACTTTGAATATGATTTCATTGAGTCTGCCACACTAGGGGTGATATCCAACAACGTTCTCACACTTGCAAATGGAAATCTGCTTGCATAGTGGGACTTTTAGTTTCTCTTCTCCTCCCTGCATCCTTCCACATGCCCCCTAGATTTACAGATTTTGAGGGCAGGGTGGGGGGATGTGTGTGGGGGTACACAAGCCCTGTTGCATGAGAGGCCATCCACACTGGACCTTAGATATTCACTTCGGAATCTCTACTCTTTGATTTTGGTATCAGATGGCTGTTCTCTTCCCTTTTCTACTGTCTTATTTTGTTTGAGAGCTCACACAATCAAACTTTTCTTTTTTAAGGAACAGAACAGCTTTGCCATCTCTGCAGTTGTAAATTGTCTTTGCCCAATCTACAGCATGTCTTAGCAGCATGCATTTTTACATTTGATTTAAAACAAAAAGCATTTTAGTACATATTAAGAGATTTGCTTAAAAATATAAACGCTGCAAGTTTCTGATCCAAGTCCACTCAAGTACAGGTGCCTATTCGCCCCCCCCATTAACGTATATGTCATAGATAATGTATACATGATTGAATTAATGAACGAGATAGATGGGGAATGAGAGATCCTGTCCAGTTTTCCATGATAAATGTTCTCAGTGATAAATGATCACAGTAGAATATTTGAAGGCTTGTGTAACTGGATCACATCTTGAAGCACTAGCCAAGTGAGTTTGCCATTTGCATTTAAGATTCCCAGGAATGCTGATCTATATTCCTGATTGCTATTGGATTTTAGTTTTGGTTTTTTGATATATATATTTTAGATTTCATTATAAAATCAATAGCTGTTGCACATGGTAAAATAGTTTACAAGAGTTGCAACATATTGTGAGATTCGGAAAACACACTGAGCTCACTGGAGCCACCCGGGTAGCCAATTAGGAGAAAACATCTATTAAGTAAAAACAGGCCAGTGGCATTGACTGCATCGATTTTCTTAGCCCTGTGAAAAGACAATCAATTAGATAAAGAAGGCTAATGTTACAGCTGCAATTTAATAACCCTGAACGAAAGGAGGAAGGCTACTGATTCCTGACATGGAATGTTGAAGTTTATTGAAATATACCAAACTTTGCCTGCCTTAAAATATGGCTTGTTATATTCAGAAGGAAAGTGTTTACAGGGGGAAGTGTAACACACAGTTCAGAATCTAAACTATTCAAGTGGTCTGGTGATGTCAAGCCAAAAGAGAGAGAGGGAGAGGGAGATATGCAAATGAACTCTCTCCCCCACACCAGAAAAGAGAAACCTGGTTTGCATACTGAATCACAGGAGCTATTGACAGAAGTTAATATATCCACAGTGAAGGTTGTTTCCCTCTCTCTCTCTCTCTCTCTCTCTCTCTCTCTATCTCTCTCTCTCCTCCCCCACCCTTTCATGCCGACTGCTCCAGAGTACCACCTGTCATTTTCAAAAGCAAAGTCAGTTTTGCCAACCAGCCGTGAATGAAAAATAAAGCTTTATATGAAACACAAGGGCATATTATGCGCTATTGTGCGTTGGGCTAAGTGCTAATTTATCTGGCTTGTTCTCTTCAGCAAACACTCACGCAGACACATGAAATAATCCATCTAATTATGTAGCTATTTAGGAGAAAAACAAAGCAAGGTGTTTTTTTTGTCTGATGCAAAAGGTACCTGATACAACAATGCCTTTCTTTGGCAAATGCAAAAGGGGAAAAGAAGAGCTGTAAAGCTGTAACAATTTCAGAACAAATGAAACTTTTGCCAGTTTTATATTTAGGGAGCAGAACCAGCTGCTTTTCATAAATAGATGAGTACTTTCATTCTTTCTCTCTCTCTCTCTCTCTCTTTTTACAGTCCCTAATTGGAAACGGCGAATAAGCCTTGCGCTTTTTCTCACTGTAACATCTGGTGTAAAATACTTTATCCAGATATTCTCTTTATGCTGTTTTCCCCTATCACTTGTATTTGATCCTTTCTCTCTCATTGTATATATATGGCCCATTTCAGCAGCAGACAGCTGCTATTCACAATAATTGCTGGGCCAGTCAATTATACTTTAAATAGGCCTACTTGAGGGCAAATGGTAGTCTAAATTATACTGAAGACCTGCCATCTACAAACTGTCATGCTCAGAGCCCAAACCATTGTAAATATTATTGAGACGCAATATAGCTCATCTACAGTATTCCAGATGTAACTAATGGCTTTATAGCTTTATATTCGTAGATTAACTGGCTTTGCACTACAGGAGCTTTTAAAAAAAAAGAAAAAAAAGAACGTACATGTTTTTCTTTTAAGAACCTGTGTAAGCAATTTCTTTCTTTCTTTCTTTCTCTCTTTCTTTCTTTCTTGAGGCATAGTCCTTGAAAATATTTTTTTCTCTGTGTTGATTTCTTAATTTAGAATGATGTCAATTAGATCTTCATTGAATATGGTCCATTTGTCCATCTAAACATATGATGAATTATAAGCAGGTATGTCCATAACCTTTAGTTAGATCTTCATCAGTGCGGTTAAGTGAAGGGGTTCTGACTAGCACCATTTCAAGGAACAGAACTGGGTTAGACTGCTTCTGAACTGAATCAATTTTCAAAGCCATACTAAAAAGAGAGTAAAAATTTGGGAGTTTAAATGATTGTCAGTCACTCAAACAGCATATTTTTGCGGGCATAAAATGCTAGAAGCTTCATTTTTAAAAAAAAATCCCATGCAAATCCTATGAGATGAATAGGGAAAGTGATCCATTCCTTTGGTTTAAAACAAGAACTTTTTTGGTGGTGGGTTGTTACACCAATATAAAGACTGAACTGGTTAATGACACAAAAGATTTGTAAATCTATTAATTTGGTCATGACTATTTGTTACCGTCATACCATAGCTTTATGCTAGAGTCTACAATATGTTATTTGAAACCAGATACAGTGGTACCTCAGGCTAAGAACTTAATTCATTCTGGAGGTCTGTTCTTAACCTGAAACTGTTCTTATCCTGAAGCACCACTTTAGCTAATGGGGCCTCCTGCTGCCGCTGTGCCTCCGGAGCACGATTTCTGTTCTCATCCTGAAGCAAAGTTCTTAACCTGAAGCACTAATTCTGGGTTAGCGGAGTCTGTAACCTGAAGCGTATGTAACCCGAGGTACCACTGTATACACCTTATCATCAGCCTCTCGGCATGCCTTTGATTTTTTGGAAAGAACCATTTACCTCTTACAGCCAATGACTGGGAATGGCTAGCAGGTCGCATTTCATGTGCTAGTACACATGTTTTAAGGCCGCAGCTGAAGAAATGAACTTCATCTGTCAAGCATTGGTCTAGGACTCATGGAGCATAAGGATATCCATGGCTCCTCGCCATGATCTACCTCCAATGCTGGAGGCAGCATTCTGGAAACCACAGGAGGGGAGTGTGCTGTTGAATGCTGGTCTTACTTGTGGATTCCCACAGGCATCTGGTTCCTCACTGTGACCAACAGGATGCTGAATTAGATGGAC